AAGATGAGTGCAATTTAGAAGAAGAGGCACTTACATGGACCCACCCGCCCTGCCCACAAGCATACACTTAAAACTAGCTTAAAACTTAATCGACTTAAAACTAACGCACGCATCCCTCGATGATCCCACGATGTCTTCAAGAGATGTCTTCTCATGTGTAAAGATGAGAAACAGGATGCGGAAAAATAGATAGGAAAAAAGGGAAAAATTCGAGTCGACTCGAAAGAAACATGCAAATTAAATAACTAATACATGCAAATGACTACTACATGCAAATAACTAATAATAAATAACACTCGTAAAATTAAGAGAAATACGAACCATTAAAAATTACTTACTTGAAATAAAAATCTGAAACAGACAATAGTAATTAGACACATAAGAAAAATGCACTTACTTACTTAAAACAAAAACCTGTAACATACAAAAATAATTAAGACTAAAATGAAGCATTAAAAATTACTTATAAAATTAAAACCTGGAACAGAGAAAAATAATTAACAGAAAAATGAAACATTAAAAAATATGTACATAAATTTAAAACCTGTAACATACAAAAATAATTTAGACAAGCATGAAACATTAAAAATTACTAACATGAAATAAAAACCTGAGACAGACAACTATTTATTAAGACAGAAAATAAATTACTTACTTAAAATAAAAATCTGGAAGAGACTAAAATAATTAAGACACATATGAAAAATTTACTTACTTGCTTAAAATAAAAAGCTATAACGTACAAAAATAATTAGATAAACATGGTGCATTAAAAATTACTTACTTGAAATTAAAATCTGAAACATACAAAAATAATTTAGACAAGCATGAAACATTAAAAATTACTAACATGAAATAAAAACCTGAAACAGACAAATATTTATTAGGACAGAAAATAAATTACTTACATAAAAGAGAAACCTGTAACATACGAAAATAATTAGATAGACATGAAATATTAAAACTTACTCATAAAATAAAGACCTGTAACGGACAAAAATAATTAAGAAAAATATCAATCATTTACACAAAATAAAAACCTGAAACATACTAAAATAATTAAAAGAAATTTCAAACATTAAAAATTACTTACTTGAAATTAAAAAGCTGAAACATACAAAGATAATTAAGAGAAATATAAATCATTAAAACTAACATTAAATATAAATCTGTAACATACAAAAATAATTAGACAAACATGAAGCATTAAAAATTACTTCCATAAAATTAAAACCTGAAATAGACAAATGTTTATTAAGACAGAAAATAAATTGCTTACTTAAAACAAATTCCTGTAACAGACAAATATTTATTAACATAATAAGCAAATTACTTAAAATTAATTCCTGAAACAGACAAAATAGAATTAGACACATATGAAACATTACTTACTTGAAATAAAAATCTGAAAGAGATAAGTGTAATTGGATACATAGGGAACATTAAATTACTTACTTAAAATAAAAATCTGAAACAGACTAAATATAATTAAACACAAATGAAACTTTGACTCACTTACGTGAAATAAATATCTGAAACAGACAATAGTAATTAGACAAATAAGAAAAATTCACTTACTTACTTAAAATAAAAATCTGAAACAGACAAAAAGAATTAAGACACATATGAAAAATTTACTTACTTGCTTAAAATAAAAAGCTGTAACAAATAAAAATAATTAGATAAACATGAAACATTGAAAATTACTTACATAAAAAAGAAACCTGTAACATACAAAAATTATTAAGGCATAAATTAATGAATTACTTACTTGAAATAAAAATCTGAAACATACAAAAGTGATTAAGACAAACATGAAACATTAAAAATTACTTACTTGAAATCAATATCTGAAAGAAACAAATGAAATTAACATGGGAAATTCGAGGCGAATGAAGAATATCATTTTTCATTCGAAACCGTACTCTTCAAAAACCGAGATCGTACGACTTTGAAAGTGTGAAAATGCGAAATAGACTTAGAAGGTTCAGAAACCTCAAAACCTGATATAAAACGACGAAGAGGTTTGAAACCTCAAAACCTCAATTAAAATCTTCAAAAAATCCGAAATGAAACCATCATAAAACTAGAAAACTTCAGTACCCGAGAAAACATTACGAAAGATTCGAATACCTTAAAACGCAAAATAAAATCTCAATAATATCTGAAAAAAGTCGAACCTGAAAATAAAAGCATTAACACATTAAAGAAATGAAATTGCAATTGCAATTGCATTTCAATCACACATGAAAATTTCTAAAGACTCTACATGTGCCTCTTGTTCTAAAATTGCACTCGTATAGTGTAAAATTATGTAAAAAGAAAAATGAAGCTAACGAAAAGAAAGTTGGAAGAACTTTCTTTTATGTTTCATTCAATTCACAAGAATAAACTAATGCTTTAAAAGTAAAAATGTATAATAAATAAAATTTTTGAAAAATTCTAATTTGTAAAAAGTTGAAAAATTGCAATAAAGATGAGTGCAATGTAGAACAAGAGGCACTGAAAAATGCGTAAGTTTTTCGCCACAAATTGTGACGAAAAACTTACGCCCGAGCCCACCCTTCCTCCCACAGCTCGGAATTAAAAAACTGACGCACTGTACAGAACTTACCAAAAATTCAATTCTGAAACACGCAAAAATTTATTAAGATACATATGAAAAATTCACTTACTTGAAATAAAAATCTGAAACAGACAAAAATAATTAAGACAAAAATGAACGATTTCATTACTTACATAAAATAGAAATTCTGAAACAGACAAAATTTCAATAACACAGAAAATTGTGGGAGAGGGAACAAAATTCTTCTTTATTTCATTCAAGAATTTTGGAAAACAAAATGCAATGAAAATTGCAGATTTAAAAAGAACATAACTTACCAAAGAACAAACTCTAAAACAGACAAACATTTATTAACACAGAAATTTCAGAGCAGAGAACAACATAACTTACCAAAGAAGAAATACTAAAACAGACAAAAATTTATTAGACACAGAAATTTGAGAAAAGAGAAGAATTTATCAAAAATTAAATTCTGAAACATACAAAAATTTCATTAAGGCAGAAAATTAAGCAAAGCAGTGAAATATTTCTTTACCCCACCCACAAAATAGGAAATTAAGCAAGGGACAATAACTTTACTTTACCCCACCCAAAAATAGAAAATTAAGCAAAGGAGGGAATCATTACTTTACCCCAACAAAGGACTGCCCAACACTGCCCGCGATTCACTTGATTTGGGCATTTAAATCGGTTTTGTCGTCTATCCAGAGGTCAAATAGTTCAAAATTTCAGTACTGTTATTAAATCAATGATCGGAATGCTAAATTTTTTATATGTATTGTGATAATATGGGTGACTTTGAACACTCAGTCCCCCTTTTTTCATCCGTTATGTCTGTTTACTTTTCTTGATCATTCTCCTCCTTTGTTAACTTTTCGGCTTTGGTTATAAATTTTCAAGTCTTATCAAGTCTTTGCTATACACTTTTTAAATATGAAATATATGTGTAAAGGAAAAGAAAAATGAGTGATTCGTCAAAGAAAGAAGATCATATATCAGATCATTTTATAGCAGGGGCTAGTAGTGGTTTTATAACAAGATTTTGTTGTCAACCTTTAGATGTTATAAAAATTAGATTTCAGGTAAAAAGTGCATGCAATAAAAATATATAACTATTATTTTATATATTAATGTAATATTCACACTGTTGTATATGTTATAAACATCTTTATAATTGTAGTTACAAGTTGAACCAATTACTGAACATCCTGTTAGTAAATATCATTCTATAATTCATGCATTTTATTCGATATCCCAAGAAGAAGGTATACGTGCGCTTTGGAAAGGACATGTTCCAGCGCAATTACTTTCTATTACATATGGAATGAGTCAGGTGAATGTGAAATAAAAATAAGGTTTCCCTTATTTTCCAGCACTATTAAAATAACACCTTTTACTATTGATACTGTTTAGTTTTAATTACTTAGTTAAAAAAATAACTGTACTGAATAATATTATTCTGGCAATGTTTGAATATTGCTTCAAATGACTGATAATCATGTAATGCCAATATCAACGATGGAGCTAATAATTTCCAAGTAGATTATATTTGAAAACTTTAAATAGCATTAGCCATACTATCAAATATATAAACATATAATATTTAAGAGCAAATATTAATATTTTACAGTTCTATTCTTATAACTTGTTTATGAAACTGAAAGACAATTTTTCATCACATAATGAATGGGTATATTCAGCACAATTTATTGCTGGAGCAAATGCTGGTTTAATAGCTACAGTTGTATCATATCCTTTTGATACCATAAGAACTAGATTAGTGGCTCAATCAAGTAATCATCAAGTGTACAACGGAATTATTCATTCTTGTAGGCAAGTTTCAAAAAATTAAAGCTACTTGTATCAAATATATTTTTTTAACATTAGTATACTAAATATATTTTCAGTTGTATCATGCGACATGAATCTCCAAGGGTTTTCTTTTATGGATTATTACCAACAGCATTGCAAATTGCTCCACATACTGGATTGCAATTTGCATTTTATGGACTGTTTACTGATATTTGTAAAAAGTATTCTCATGAAACTACTAATACTTTTTATATCTCTATGATATCTGGTAGTGCAGCTGGTTTGTTAGCTAAAAGTGTAGTATATCCATTTGATCTTACTAGAAAAAGATTACAAATACAAGGATTTAAGCATGGTAGAGTAGGTTTTGGAACTTTCTTTGAATGTGAAGGATTTGTAGATTGTTTCAAAATGACTCTGAAAAAGGAAGGAGTAAAGGGATTATTTAAAGGCTTGGTACCAAGTCAAATAAAAGCTGCTGTAACAACAGCATTACATTTTACTGCATATGAGCAAAGTTTAGTAGCAATAGAAGCATTCAGATCATATGTTTCCAAATAGTAATCATAATAATGCTTTACAATATATCAAAATATATTATGAATCGATTGTACAAGAAATTAAATTAAACAAATGAAGAATAGAATAATGTGAATAGTGTATTCAAAGCTTATTTTTATTAACTGTCCGATATACGCTTAATAGTTTAATTAACTTAAATATATAATACATTGTGTATTTATATTTGAAGCTCAGAAGGCATTTCATTTGGAACTCCATTTAAAACTGCAAGTATATTTCTAGCAGTAATTTTTGACATTTCCTCTCGTGTCTCCGTAGCAGCGCTACCAATATGCGGTAGTACCACTATAACAGAAAAAATTCATTAGTTTAATCACGGATTTAGTAATATTTTAGTTCTATACTTACCGCAATTATCTAATTTTAATAATTCACTGTCTAATGGGATAGGTTCTGGCGTCATAACATCTAAGCCTGCAGCTCTAATTTTTCCAGTTTTTAAAGCTTCTATTAATGCTGGTTGATCAACAACTTCGCCTCTACTGATATTTACAAATATGGCAGATTTTTTCATCTTTTCAAATGCACTTTTGTTAAACATTTGTCTTGTGTCTGGTGTTAAAGCTGTTGTAGCAATTACAAAGTCACTGTTTTGTAAAAGTACATCAAATGTTACTCGTTCTCCAAGATGGGATGCTTCTGGTTTAGGGGTTCTACTCGTAAACAATATTTTAGCAACATTAAAGCCTTTGAGACATTTTGCCAGTTGAGTACCAATACGACCAAATCCTACAATCCCAACTGTAGATCCAGATAATGAAGGGCCACACATAAAAATAGGTCCCCATGATGTCCATTCACCCCTATGAATTATATTTTAAATAAAATTTGTATTTAGTTAAGTACTACATTAGATATACATTCTGTTCCATACTTGTAAATAGCTCTATTTGCTTCTATTAATCTCCTAGATGTAGCTAAAAGTAATGCTATAGTTAATTCAGCTGTTGCTTCAGTTAAAATACCAGGAGTATAACCAACTTTGATATTTCTCCGTTTCAAAGATTTCAAATCCAAATGGTCAAAGCCCACTGACATAGAAGCAACAACTTTTAATTGTGATCCTGCTGCTTCTAGAACTTCATCATCTATTTTGTCGGTCAACACACAGAAAACTCCATCTACACCTTTTATTTTTGATAATAATTCAGACCTAGGAATTGGTTGAGGTTTATCTCCTATAATTAAATCACATCTGAAATGAAACAAAAAAATAGAAATTAATAAAATAAAAAAATTGTATACATGTACATATATGATAAGTTTTATACATTTTTTACATTACATATATATTAAATATATGTTACGTGAATGTCACATATACGTTACATATCTACAATCGTAAATGTAATTTACAGAAAAAATATATTTTGTCAATATTTCAAGGATACTTACTGTTCTTTAAGTAAATTTATTCCTCCAATTGGAACATCTGGACGAGTAATTAAAACCTTCGGTCGACTCATTTTTATCGAACTGGTCGAGAAAAACTTCGGAATGCTATATTTCGAAATATTGAAAATGATTGGAGCTAGTGAACTTTGACTTGACTTACAAAAGAAAGTGAAACTAGATAATGACATGTTCTCGCTCGATTAGTTTTTCGGTAATGACTCTTACTTTTGTTCATAAATGTTATGATATAAACCGGCATTAAAGATATAACCTCATTGCTGACGATTACTCTAATTATTTTTATTTTCGTATTTATCTGCATTCATATTTTTAAAGATGGAGAATGAAGTGATTACATATTGTGGAATGTTTTACGATTTCTTGTACTTGCTTTGGCAGTACATACAAGGTGTCCACGTCCAAGTGTGATATCGCGATATTTCATATTTTGAGAAATTAAAATTAAGTTGTCTGCATACTTACCTTTAACTAAAACATTTAAATAAATGTTCCAATCTTCCAAATTGTCACACTTAGGTGTGGATACCCTGTATACTAATACCAGTCTATAATGTTGACAATAGGACATTATTTATGAACAAGTATATATAATTATCACAATTTATTAATCTTGTGATTAGTAAATACAAATTTTTTAGTAGAGAATAATACTGTATTTATATATTAATATACCACATTATTATTAATACCATGTAATAAATTACACTTTTGCTAAATATAAGTTTTAATTTTTAACTGACTTCTGTTTTTTTTTTATTAAGATCTAAACATTTTGAGCATTCATAATTCCTTTTAGCTGCCAAAATTGTATTTTTCATTAACATTGTTACAGTCATTGGACCTACACCTCCTGGTACTGGAGTTATATGTCCAGCAATTTGTTTCACATTATCAAAATCTACATCTCCCAGTAATTTGTAATGATTTCCAATTTTTACTCTTGTGATTCCTACATCAATTATACATGCCCCTGGTTTTACCATTTCCTTAGTAATAAGACCAGGAATACCGGCAGCTACAACCACCAAATCTGCTAATTTTGTAAACTTTTCTAATTCAGTGTGGGGAGTGTGACGGTGACATATAGTTGTAGTCATATCTAATGCACCTGTTTCGCCTAGAAAATAATTCATCATCAAATTCCTGTTAACAGTATTAATTTACTTATACAAACTGTTATAAAATACTATTATAACATACCTTCACGATCAGCATGTAAAAGCAATGCAATAGGTAAACCAACATGTTTTGATCTTCCTACTACCACTGCATTTTTTCCAAAAGTTTCTATGTTGCTTCTTATTATTAATTCTTTCACACCCAAAGCAGTTGCAGGAACAATACCACTTCTATTTAATGCTAGATTACCCAGATTTTCCAAATGAAAACCATCCACATCTTTGTTTGGTGCAATTGCCTGACACACTTCTTGTTCATTTATATGCTTTGATAATGGTAACTGCACAAGAATTCCATCTATGGATGGATCTTCATTTAAGTAATTAATTTCATTGATAATCTGCTGTTGCGTTACATTTTCCTCTAGTTGGATAGTATAGTTTTCTATGCCTACAACATAAATATATGATGCACATTTTTAATCATTTCTTTTATTAATATTAAATAGACTAGTCATATGTGTGCAAGTATTTGCTCTGTTTATCATTGCATTGATGTGTCTCTAAAAACTGTTAGTGTAGATAATATATTACCAATAAAACTTGCAGCTTTCATTTTTCTTTTTACATACATTTTACTAGCTGGATGATTACCAACTATTATTGCTACTAATTTAGGTGTCCTTTTAGTATCATTTATCCACGTATGCAGAGTTGCTTTCAATTCATTCTGAATTTCCTGAGCTATTTGTTTACCATCTATTATTACTGCTTCTTGTCTGGAAAGAAACATAACAGTTTTCATATTAATTTTTTATATTAATTAATTGTGTATGCAATATTTTTATTGCAAACATGTTTATCAAAATCATTGAATATTCAATAGAGATTACTTACAGAATTTTTGAAGTATGTAGATGTCTCAAAAGCGATTGGAAAGTGGTTGTTAAAATATTTCTATAAGAAAACATTATAAAAAGTATAAAATTAATCAACTATGTATGTTATAAATATTCAAGAAGCAACAAGTATAAAACTTTTGCTACAAAATCGTCCAACAGTATTATTGATTTTATTCTCGCGATTGTAATTTGAAATAGCGTTGTGTTAGCTTTCTGTAAACAATATGGTAATGTAATACAACAGATATAGTGAGGCGTATTAAGTAGTTTACCAGCACTGACAAGATACCTGCAAAGTATTTTAATGAAAGGTAGCGATGTTTTTTATTTTTCAAACAAGTTCCGCTTTTCATTCATTTTATTCTGCACTTTCACACGGTGAAAGTAACATTACTGTATCGATATGATTTCGATAAAGTAACAACTTTTCATTATATGTATATTGTATAATTAATATAAGAATAAGACATAGAAACAGAAGTGTTATATTTCAATTCAATTTATCGATTAGAATATATGCGATTCGCGCTAAACAAAATATTATTGTTTGGTTCGCTGATGTCCTGCTTTCGTAAGTTGTGTGTTTTAGCGGGATTTTTGAGTGAGGCACACAACCCCATTTTAAATGGAGTTCTACCTACTTCATACGCATAAATAAATGTTTAAACCATTTACAAATCTCCGGGAAACTGCAGAATACCGTCATGTTCTGATTCTGGTCAAATTTTGCAAACAAGTTCTATTTTTTTCGTAAAACAAAAAGTTTGCACAACTTCAAAGTTGTTCCCTATATTACCGATGAGACAAAGTATAACGAGCGAACTGTTCCGAATAGAATCAAAGAGATGGCGCTACTTGTTCCTTTTTTTTTTTTTTTGTAAAAAAATTCAATTTATATTGAATTTTAATATTTTAATATTATTTTATGAACTAAAAAATTGGCGTCCACCTAGTGGCGAAACGGGAGAACTAAACCTAAAAAATGAGGGTCCGAACATGCAAATAAGGAAAATAAAAAAATGAATATTACGGCACTTTGGCGACGTAGTATGGTACCTGAGGCATTTAGAAACAAATTTCTATTAGGGTTTGATGCGTTTTGATGCCTAATAAAGCCAGAAAATCAATTTTTGTCGAATTCGGTCCAAAACGGTACAGGTGGCGCCATCTAGCGGCGAGCGGCGGAACTACGAATAACTAAAATTTCGATTTTCTCGAAAACTGGGCACTTTTTGGAAAATCTGATATATACAAATTGTTCCTTGTTGCCTAAGGAATCGAACGAATATAATTATTCTAATTATAGCCGGCTAGGACCATTATTAAAGAAAATAGAAAAATAGCCCATTTCATGGACTAAAAAATTGCCGTCCATCTAGCGGTGAAAGTTGGAACTACAAAAATAGAAAAATGCGATTTTCTCGAAAATTAGCGAACTTTAAGTACTTCTCAGAGTCAGAAAGTGTTATGTGATCGCATTGGAAGCAAAATAATGCAATAAAAGCATCCTAAAGGATTTAATAAAGAAAATAAAAAAAATGTCATTTTATGGAGAAAATTTGTGGCGCCATCTAGCGGCGAAACTGCGAACTAAACTGAAAAAACGTATGCACATACACGCGTTAAGGAAAAGTATATAAAGCAATATTTCGCAACTTTGACGACGTAGTATGCTTCTTTAGACATTTTAAAGCAATTCTTGTTGAATAAGTTATTCATTTTTTTGCCTATTAAGCCCAGAAAATCAATTTTTATTTGACCCCTTTACTGCGTGTTCGGACATACGTTTTTTGAGTTTAGTTCGCAGTTTCGCCGCTAGATGGCGCCACAAATTTTCTCCATAAAATGACATTTTTTTTATTTTCTTTATTAAAGCCTTTAGGAAGAATTTATTACATTATTTCGCTTCCAATGCGATCACATAACTCTTTCTGAGCCTCAGAAGTACTCAAAGTTCGCTAATTTTCGAGAAAATCGCATTTTTATATTTTTGTAGTTCCAACTTTCACCGCTAGATGGACGCCAATTTTTTAGTCCATGAATTGGGCTATTTTTCTATTTTCTTTAATAATGGTCCTAGCAAGCTATAATTATATTCGTTCGATTCTTTAGGCCACAAGGAACAATTTGTATATCTCAGAATTTCGGAAAAGTCGCTGGTTTTCGAGAAAATCGAGATTTTCTATTTTTGTAGTTCCAACTTTCACCGCTAGATGGACGACAATTTTTTGGTCCATGAAATGGGCTATTTTTCTATTTTCTTTAATAATGGTCCTAG